TTCTTCGAAACAATTTAATCTACATAAGCTAACAGCTACCTGTCTCTACTCGCGTCGCCGGTGGGGAGATTCGAGTTATCCAACGGAACGTACCGGGTGCAAAACGGCGGCTGGTCTCTCGGTCATGCCGGTATACTCTCGAGATCAGCATTCGTTCCCTGGCAAGTAATACGGGCCGGAAAATCAGGCCGAGGAGAACAACGACGACGGAAGAAGCGCGGCGGAAAAGAAACAGGAAAAAGATGCCCGGTGAAAGAGGAACGAAAGTAATAATAGGTGAGAGGTGAGGAAAGAGAAGAGGACGGTCGGTCGATGGCTTCAAGAATCTACGGTCCCACAAATAAGAGATAAAGCTGGCCTGGCACCTCGTATCTACGATCTGGCCTCCGTATCAGCCGTGCCCAGAGGGTAGGGGATAAGAGACGTAGAACCTCCTGCAGGAGAAACCCACCATAGATTGAATTATCGTCCCCGATCGATTCTGAATTTAGCCTGCCGCTTCTCGGCTCCGTTGTCTCCGTCCGGATCGGAATGGACGGCGCGCGCCGCAACGAAGAGGAGATTACACAATTAACCCCGATGGTTTATTAACGCTGATGCACGCGCGCGCATACTTAATCTTGACTGCGTGAAGAAAGATTCCAGACCCGACACAATCAATCGATCAGCGAGAATGTTGGAGATTTTTACCGATTTTGAGCTTGTTTGTTTTCGGAAAGATAACTTGCCTCTATACGATAAGCGCGAAGACCTATCCTGTAAACGTGGGAACTATCTTGCGTCAATATTGACATTATTTTAGCTCATTCGTTTTGTCAAACAACGACCGAGAATTGCTTTTCCAATCGATTAGTCAGTCTTTCACCTTCAAAAACTGCACGGCGTCGAAGAAACATACTTATCGCACCATTATAATGTACTCTGACGTGCAAATAAATATATTTTAATACAATCTCTGCAATACTTTCACATGTGGCTAATTAATACTTTGACTAATTAACAGTGAATTATAGTTACACATTTCTCAATGTGATTATAAAAAATCTGCTCATTTAATCACTTCTTTCAAAATAAATGCGGTAAATACCGCAAAGTTACATAGCCGATTTCTCGATAATCATATCGAGGCTGTACGAAGTATGATAACGTATCGCGCGCAGATAACTTTTAACTGCAGCCGGCATTCATTTCAGAAAACGCGGCGACTTCTCTATATCCTCTTTTTCCCTCCAGTCTTCGGGGTGGCAAATAGGAGCCTTTAATTAGTAAATTACTTAGTTGGTATCTTATCATACCGAGGAAAGATCAGATGACTTACACGCGCCTACATGTAACTTTCTATCCGGACGCTACTATTACGTTGGCGGATGGTGCGGGACTTTGACTTTAAATCAGTCGCCAGGAAAGAGGACGCGAAGAGGAAAAAGAAGGAGAAGAGGAAAAAGAGGAAGATGCGGGAAGAGGAATCGAACGATACATGCAACTGAGCACTTTACCTTAACATTCCCAGCGGATTTGCGAGAAGCATCGTTCTGATAAAAATGCGCGATTGCTCGCGCGCCAGCCCGCAGATGCACGACGACCGGTGCTTGCGCATATATTTCGCATTATCGAATCTTCCGCACCGCGGCTGTAACGACCGGCATTAATTCGAGTTTTCTACGGCACGCTAAATGTTTCTTTGCAAAATACAACGTCGCGTTTTACCCATCTTGTTTCACGCTTTGCGCACGCGGAAATCGCGCAACGATGTGTAGGCGAAGAAAGTGGTCCCCCCGTGTAGATACATGAACGAAGCGCGAGTAGAAAGTGACTCGGTGCCGAACGAGTTTTGCGACTGATATTACCGATAAAATGTTAATCGAGTTAATATCCAATCTCGGTGAAATTAATGGGATCGAAATTGATAAATGTCAGGTGAGCGTAAGCGGAACGTGTTCCATGTATCCGTGAATGAGACATACACTGATCGCTTTGTTCAATCGGAATTTTATAGGAACCGCCTTCTAGCGACGAGATATACTTCTTCTTGAGAGTCAATATTTGCTAAATCGTTTCGGATATGTCAGTGCCACCTGGACTTTATTGCACAGCGCATACTTCATTGAAATTGATAGTACGCAGTCGTATTTCCTATTTTGTTTATATTGATACGTTCGACAATTCTTAAATTTATAAATTGTATTGTACGAGTTGGTAGAATTTTTATAACATTTTTCAGTTGCATTATTTTGGGCCGTTTCGAAAATACGCGTTTTTATCTTTTAATTGTTTCTTTTATGTTTGTGTCACTACTCGTGTTTATCTGCGTGTATTTATTAATTGTAATTGTTATTAAATTTGTAACGTAAAAAACATTCTTTTGAAATATACATTTTTGACTAAATATTCTACCGCTTTTTCTGCAATCCTATGCTGCGCAATTATTTTTCAAAAATTATTTTACAATTGATTCTAAGCTTTAACGCGTGTATGTACATGTATGTAAAGACGTGTAAAAAATTAAATTAATTGTTTTTGTACCCCATATTGAATTGCATATTAAGAAATGTATACGTGTAGTTTATCTTAAGGGCTTTTTAAAATATGTGTAGCTATTACCTGTTCTTGCAAATCACCTGACGAACAAATTTGGGTTAATAGCAGGCCTGGCGCGATAATATTCATTTATGCAATTTAAGTAATTGCCGTCCCATTAAGACGACAGTCTTGCGGCTGTTCCGCAAGCACGCGAGGAACTGTCTCGGTGCGGTGAAATTGCACCAGTTTTATCTCCCGATATTTATCCGTGGAAGGCGCAAACAACTGCGCCTCTCACAACGCCTCATGCGATATTTATTTATTTTTACCCACCGAACGGTAGAACGAGAACGAGATTTTTAAATACCCGCGATAATATAGTGGGGACTACGGCAATAGCGCGGACTACGCAAATGGAACTTCCTAGCTAATTTACACGATGGACCCGCGCGTTGCGAGTACGCACAGAGCGATACGGCAATCGATTAAATTCCTAATTACTAGAGACGCTCATAATAAATTCGAAAATTCACAGTGTTCCAAGCAACCACCGGGCAATTAGGCTCGGACTAATGGACTCTAAACTGTCAGTTATGAGTTTCTAGCTTCGTGGATATGCGCGCGGCCGTATCACGTATACTTCCTAGCGGGTAATGATCCCTGTAGGTTTGCGCAATTGCAACAAATAATCGTTACCCAACAGCGGTTGTGTTGTAGATAACGCTAATGGCTTGTATATTATTAAGAGAACATTTATCTTCGGCGATGAACACGTTACGCGTATACAGGAAACAATAATCGATTAAAAAATAACTTACCACTTGTGTGCTTCTAAAATAAAAACCAGTAATAAGCAAGCAAGAGCCTTCTTATTCCGATATCTTTTATCCGTTCATATTTTCGTTACTCGACGCAACCAATACTCTGCCGTATCTTCCCTGTATTCTGATACCGCGCGCTGCCTATATTGCCACTAATTACCAACGGATTTAATTTCAGCAGTAATGCATATGAGTTAATACAGACAATATATGCGCGAACCAACCGCGGCGAATCATATCTCTATTACTAGCCTAATAGCACAATGTCGATTAATACACCTATCTTTACACGTTAAATCATACATAAAACTTTGCCACAATCCCGACAACATATATGATCCATCACTAGCGAATGAGCTCCTAATTCGCCCGTAATTATCTCTCGTGTTCTAAAGCTCTAAATACAACATTATTTAGCGGTAAACCCTTTCTGGATGTAAATAAATATGTACCTCCGAGAGCGAGTATGCGGATTACTACTTATACTTCATATAATTTCGTATGCAACGGCTAAAGAGGAAAGATACGACAAACGTTAACGTATCCAGCTGCGCGTGTTAATACGCTATAATTAGCGTGCCATTACCACCTGCGCATCTGAAAATGATCGAGCAGATTAGCTAAACCCGCCCGCCCGCTTTCGGACAAACTCTCCGGACTTTGGATGCGATGGCGCGGCAACTATACGGGTCACCGCCAATAAAGATATCGCAATCTGAAGCACTTCAACTCAAATTAAAGTACTTCCGAGGAAAGGCCGAGCAGTAATCCCGCAAACGCGCTGAGTTGAATAGCATTTAGTGATCTCTCTCGATCCATTCGATATAATTTACTTCATTATTGATTTCACCGTAAGCATTTTATGTCTTTTAGTGAAAGAAGTAAGACTGGTTAAAAGTACCGTTTGAATATGTCCTTTTTATCATTAATATATGCTTTTATCGTTATTTTTAACATAAGTCGTTTAAATCTTATTGTGTTTAAAAATATAATTATTAATCAAATGCCAACGAGAAGAATTTCAATAAATGCTATATATATATATATATTAGAATATATATATATATATATATATATATATATATATATATGTTCTTTTTATATATATATATATATATGTAAAATTTTATATTATCTAAATATTTTTGCGTGGAGATATAAAGTTAATTAAAATACGCACTACACAAAATGTTTCAAGCAATATCTGCAATAAAAGAACTACTTTATATTTGAACTGTACTCTAAATTGTATACTATTGTAAATAATAATATTATAAAATGTTATTTTATAACATATAAAATAAAATAACCTCTACTGTTACAAATAATTTCAATTTTTATATTCACACTTAATAAATTATGACTTATTAAAATAAAGATTAATAAATTCATTGATTGTAAGCATTAAGCAACTAACTATGCATTGTGTTTTCTTATTGTTTAAAGGGTAATGTAAATAGTAAAGAGATTGTGTATCTGTCGACATCTATGGTAATCGTTGATGTAGTGGTGGTACGGACGGATCACGCGGCGGCGCGCGGCGGCGGCGTGGCGTGATACATCAGCGCATGCGTGTGCATGCCGAGACGTGCGTTTTCAGCTGGTTCAGCTCGCCGAGCGGACATTCATCGCAATTCATCGTTCGTCCGTCGTAGCGTATAGTCGCGTTTGATTACTTCTTTCTTTCTTTCGAGAAGATTCGTTTGAGTTGAGAATTGAAACGCGATTGTAATCGTTGCGATATTCGAGTCATTGTGAAAGAACCGAGAATTGTCAATATTGTCGAGCGAGGCTGTCTCGATACAGCTAAGAGGAAAGATACCAAGATATCCAACGATCCTCGGACCGAGCAGCGTGAAGGAAAGACGAGCGTCGCCATTACGACGTAGTCACACGAACAGAGGACGAGTCAGCCATATTGGCACATTGAAAATGCCCTCATGGGCTTGGTCAAGGAGACCATTATTTTCCATAAACGAGGAAGGCAGTCGCTTTCAGGTAACATATTCCGGTCTCTGGTCAATCATTGATCACTTGAAATAATCGCTAGCAAGGCGATTAGTGTAGTATGACGAACTTAACGTTCTATCATAATGCGATCTTTGATTACAGAGTTCGAGAAAGAACGATGCGAGGAATATTTCCTCCATCACAATAAGCTTGCAATCTTGAAGATTGTAAGCAGAACGGGCCCTCGTTACAATAAGATAAACTGAGCTCAGTATAATTACTTTCGTTAATTTCTTATGGTTGCAACCCGCGTGTAAAATAATTTATTCTTGCTGTAAAATAACTTACATTATCGAAATACATTACCGAAAGAGACACGTGATTCTGATATTTACGTGAATACGGCGTTATACTTGCGTATATTGTGGTTCAATCCCGCTGATATTGAACATAACTTGTCTTTTAAGATAAAACGTATTATCTGCGTATGATTAATTCTGACTTAATTGAATTCTCGATTTATTCTTTACTGAGTGAGTTTGATTATAAATTGCTACATCACTTATTCGATAACTTGCTTATTGCTGAAGTTACGGTGTCAATTAATATTGAAAAGTGCGTTACATTCAATTTGTAGAAACGCGCACAACAGGCTATTTTAGTTTAAATCATCTCTTTCAGAATATAGTTATTGTTCTTTCGAGTAAAAATAAATTATATTCTTTAATTACTTTATTTAGAAAGATTATTTTCTGATTATCATTTAATTGACACATTCCTTCATTTATGATTATTCGTTGTATATTTATAGATGTTTATGTGTACTATAAGTTATGTAAAATGTGTTTAACATGAATGGTTTTTTCTCAGAGATAGTTTAATTATGGAATGCATTTGACTGCTTCAACGTTTCGAGAAATAAGCATAATAGATATCTACTTTCTTCAGATGAGTTCTATCAGTCAATACGAGATTACAATATTGAAGTGTCAACAAGAAAGGATTATTCTTTAATGATTATTCTTTTTCATTGTATTTTATACAGCTGAATATTTCGTACAATATCTTATTATACTATTTATGCATCTATTATGAGACAATCCTAGTTTGGAATAAGAGTTAACTTGGAAATACACAATCTCTTTAACTTAAACCACGTGAGTAAATGTGTCGTTTCCTATACAAATTCTAGAGGCCAGGCTCCTGCGCGAGCTTGTACTTAACATTGGTCCTTCGAGCCGGATCTGTAATTCCGGATTTGTAGATCTGGATATGTAATTCCGGATATAAAAATTAAAATAGAGATTCATTGTGAATTCTAAATACTTTTGCTATTACGTGTGAAATCCGGATTGAGGAAGCGACACATCGAGTTTCGCGAAAATTAATACATAGTTGAGTGAAAAGCATTCCGCCTGAATCATTTCGAGTTTGATATTGATAGATATTTCTAAACAATAAAATGGATTCGATAATCGATCAGATCAATCAACAGCTCGTGGTGAGTAATTTCATAGCTAAAGCTTATGATAATTTTGTCAGGAAAGGGTCCTCAGGAATTACGAAACAAAGAACAGATATTTACCTTTCTTCCTTAGAGGAGAATTGGAATAGGTTCAGTTTAACACACGACGCCATTCTAATGGAAGTCGCTAGACTTACAAGTGAGGACAGGCAATTAATTCGAACGCACTCGTATTTCACGGATCGAGTCTTAACGACTCACAGGAATTATTTAGCAGCGGTTGAACAGATAACGGCTCGTCTCAGTGCAGAACAACAAAATGTAACAGGGTCTTTTTCTACATCATCTCAATCTCAGGATATTCTTGTACCTAACGTTTCTCAACATCAGCATGCTCATCTTCCTCAAGTTAATATTCCGACGTTCGACGGTACTCCTTCAGAGTGGCTCAATTTTAGAGACTCGTTTACTTCTCTCATTTTATCCAATGCGTCTTTAACATCAATAGAGAAGTTGCAATATTTGAAAACAAGTTTAACAGGCTATGCTGCTCACTTGATCAAGAATACGACACTCACTTCTGACAACCTTTTAAAAGCGTGGAATTTGTTGTTATCATTTTACGATAAGCCTAGAATTCAAGTTAATACTTCATCTCCAAAAAATACTTGTCCAGTTTGTAAAAGAAGTCATTACATTGTGAAATGTCCTAAGTATATCGATGGGACTACAGATCAGAAGTTGGCACTTATAGCCAAATATCAATTATGTTATAATTGTTTAGCGAAACACAGAGTAGTGAATTGTAAAGTAACTAAGCGTTGTCGTACATGTGGTAAGAAGCACCACACAACAATACACAAGGAAAGAACTTCTTTTAATACTAAAGATGTAAAATCAGAACCTCAACTTAAGTCCAGCCCGGCTGTAGCAGAAGCAGAAAAGGACACACCCTAAGTATTACATTCGACTGTTAATAAAAGTTTGAATGCTTCATGTGTATTGTTGGCTACCGCGCAAGTATTTATAATCTCAGATAGACAAGAAGTTAGAAAAGTTCGTGCTCTTTTGGATCAAAGCTCGGAGATCTCATTGATCACTTGAAATAATCGCTAGCAAGGCGATTAGTGTATGACGAACTTAACGTTCTATCATAATGCGATCTTTGATTACAGAGTTCGAGAAAGAACGATGCGAGGAATATTTCCTCCATCGCAATAGGCTTGCAATCTTGAAGATTGTAAGCAGAACGGGCCCTCGTTACAATAAGATAAACTGAGCTCAGTATAATTACTTTCGTTAATTTCTTGTGGTTGCAACCCGCGTGTAAAATCATTTATTCTTGCTGTAAAATAACTTACATTATCGAGATACATTACCGAAAGAGACACGTGATTCTGATATTCACGTGAATACGGCGTATTCACGTGAATACTTGCGTATATTGTGGTTCAATTCCGCTGATATTGAACATAACTTGTCTTTTAAGATAAAACGTATTATCTGCGTATGATTAATTCTGACTTAATTGAATTCTCGATTCATTCTTTACTGAGTTTGATTATAAATCGCTACATCACTTATTCGATAACTTGCTTATTGCTGAAGTTACGGTGTCAATTAATATTGAAAAGTGCGTTACATTCAATTTGCAGAAACGCGCACAACAGTAGGCTATTTTAGTTTAATTCTTTATCTCTTTCAGAATATAATTATTGTTCTTTCGAGTAAAAATAAATTATATTCTTTAATTACTTTATTTAGAAAGATTATTTCGTGATTATCATCTAATTGACACATTCTTTCATTTATGATTATTTGTTGTATATTTATAGATGTTTATGTACACTTTAAGTTATGTAAAATGTGTTTAACATGAATGGTCCTTTCTCAGAGATAGCGCGGGGTAGTTTAATTATGCATTTGAATGCATTTGACTGCTTCAACGTTTCGAGAACTAAGCATAATAGATATCTACTTTCTTCAGATGAGTTCTATCAGTCAATACGAGATTACAATATTGAAGTCTCAACAAGAAAGGATTATTCTTTAATGATTATTCTTTTTCATTGTATTTTATACAGCTGAATATTTTGTACAATATCTTATTATACTATTTATACATCTATTATGAGACAATCCTAGTTTGGAATAAGAGTTAACTTGGAAATACACAATCTCTTTAACTTAAACCACGTGAGTAAATGTGTCATTTCCTATACAAATTCTAGAGGCCAGGCTCCTGCGCGAGCTTGTACTTAATACTTATATTGTTTACGTTGTTTTGTTCGTTAATAATAAATAATAATGGGTTGTACATTACAATCAGTAAGATCACATTAATAGCGACATTAATAATGGCAGTCAATAAATTTGTGTTCTCTATTATGTTGAATTTTTTCAAGTATCGTGCAACCACGCGGCTTTCGCGTCTCCGATTCGTATTGATAGCTTTATAGTTTTATTATTCATAGCCTTTACTTTCGCGCAACAGTAAATACGAGACCCGCCTGATCCGTCGAACCTGCGCGCCTCGTACAGCATGTTTTATTGAAACACTTATCGTGGCGGACATGTGGATTATAAAAATCTTACGATCATTCGAATTTATCGCATTTCGCTGCTTAGACATTCGCCGTCTCGTCATGGTATGGTGCACACAAGCCGATAAAATATTATCATTCCCATTTGTATTTGTCACTAAAAAATTGGATGTTATTCAATTACCATGGACGCAAATTCGCGCGCTCGTCAATAATTACATGCAACGCGGCATTCGCCCGTACGGTTCCACTTATCGTTTTACGTCGCGCGGAGAACCGGAGAAACGTTCTGTCGTGGAATAATCTTATTTATCTCTGTGAAATATCGTTCTGTGTAAGGATAACGTATCATTAAATAAATTCTGATTGCCTTTTATACATATTGAAATAGAAATGTTTATTGATTATGTGCTTGTATGCTTTATGATATATTATAAAATGAAAACAGAACTCTTATCTATTCAATTTCTCTTAAGTATCCAACTTATAATTGAAAATTTGCGATGCGCGATTATATGGAGAAAAAAATGTTACAAGGCCTTTTGCTACTTAAAATATATTTTTGTACGGGTGAGTTTCCCAAGAATATCTGTATATTTGTTCTTACCCATACCTACGATCTGTCCGTACCGCATAAAGCAAGAGTTTAACGAACAAGGCCGCATTCACATTATTTAAACAATGAGAGTCCGCACGATTAAGAGGCTTGTTCAGGCTGGCTGAATCAAGTGTGCTTCGTAGAGCATCGTGAAATTGCGGTTCATACCGCGAACAGGGATAATGAACAAAGGCAGGAGTGGTAACGATACAAGATTTTCCATTTTCTACAGTCATTCTAAATAGCTTATGATATGGAAGCAGATAATATTGCAGTAATATAATAATAAGAGACTTATATAATGTTAAGAGACCTTCTCTGTTACTTGCGTCATACCTATTCCATTTATCTCCGTCAAACCCGCCACTCGCGATGAATACTTTTGATATTCGGATGAAAATTGAGCCGTGCGAGAATAACGATTTTCAATCTTGATAATCAAGCGCCACGAGTACCTCTATCGCCGACGGTTTCGCAATTCGCGTTCAAAGCTGACACAATGCAGCAACACGTCTGGTTACTCGTGGGCGGTAGCAGGATGTCGCTTACTGCAGAGGCTGCTTCGCAGCGATGATAGCGTCGCGTAATGCCACGGCTGAGACTATCTGCAGAGCGGTAATGCAGCAGAGTGCGGATTCGGTTAGGCGCGGAGGATGGGTGGTCGAATGAGTGGGGCGCGAATATAGGATGATTATGTCACGGTGTGATCTATGGGAACTGGCAACGTGCCATGCGGTCATCCGACCGCACCATATACTATTCTCTCCTTGTATCTCCCACCTTCCTTAATTCGCGACGTATCTTGATTTCTTATTCAGCAACTTTTTTTTATCGCTTATAAAGCGAATAACCGAATATGTCAAAATAGAACTGTGTTATCGAACGTTATTAATTGAGTTATTAATCGCTCGCGGTTCAATCAATCAATTAATTATTTTCTCTCAGTTAATTATTTTCATTATATACGCCACATAAAATTTACGAACACACGTGCGTAAAACACGATATTGATCTTTCGCACTATGTATCTCGCAAAAGAATTACGAGACGATTGTACGATATCGTTAAATATCTCTACATCGAGATAAATATGATAATACTTCCCATTACTTCGTTCGCCTCGCGTATCTTTCGTCGCGAAGAAAGTGCTTGTCGTTCGAAGCGAAAAGTTCGTTAACGTAGTTTATCGTGCAGTTTGTGGTCGCAAGTCTGACAACTCTTCCCTCCACGGGTGGTGCTGTAAACTTTAAGGTGCCACGACTTTAGGAGCTCACATGTGAGAGTTAGTTTAATGTCCGCCGCAACTAACCGAATCGCTCTCGTCGCGATAAGACGCGCCGCGGAAGAAAGCCTCCGTCATGATTGTACGAATCCTGGGCTTGTCGTACGGACGACCAGTTTAATCGAAGCGATGTTCCGTTAGCAGATAAAATATTGCGCGCTCTTTAAATTCTGCCGGAACCATCGTCCACGTTGGCCCAAGTGCGTAACTCTTTCTCATACGTACATTTGAGATGTGCATCGGGTACAGAAAAAAAATCAGGAAGATGAAGCGGGCGAGAAAGAGAAAGAGCATAAAGAAGGAGAAGGCGAGGTATCACATGCATGTACGGTATACGCAGCACGCATCTCGTTGCAGAGCTACGCGGAGGACAGTTGTAACGCTTAGTGAAGTCCGGTATTTATTACGCAACGCTTTATATGCCCTCTCGCAAACACGTGTGCACTCGTAGGCGTAACACACGCATCCGCGTCACGATCTCTGCACGAAGTGCCGCTCCACTATCGTGACTTTAAAATCCGCCTATTGATCCAAGCTCGTTAGTGGATATGCAATTTAGCGATGTTCGTCCACGGGGACATGTATAATATAATTGAAACGTAGTTCTATGCATTTTTCTCTGACTCGTGAACACTAAAGATTAAGCTGACAAAAAAAATTTGTTCGACGCTCGTAGTAGATAATAGACAACGGATTTTTGGCTGTTCGTGCGTAATTGGCTTTATGTCGGCGGGGCTCTGTCGGCGAGAGAATTATTAGCCGAAACGCGTTCCTTCTTGGTTCGCCCCTCTCCGAAGCGAGGGCCGTAAAAATTCCTCCGAAGAAAACCAGCCGTTCGAGCGGACGAAAGCGCGCCGGCCCTTTACCGTAGTAGATTCCTGTGAGTGACGCAGATCGTAGGAATTCTTATCCCACGGCCGGCGGCAAGCTCCACAGGAGAGGAATCGGTCGTAGGCAATGAGGGCGATGGTACGTTTCACAGGACTTCGCGGTTTCGGACAGTGGCAAACGTGCCCCGCGGCGGCAGTACCTTTCAGGTTCAAAAACGCCTGTTCGGGATGACTCAACCGGTCGTGCAACAAACCGCAGCAATCTTCCCGTATAGAGAGAAACCTGCTACGTGCAGAGAGCACAGGGTATTCGATTACCAGCCCCGACGGTACTTTTTAGGAGGCGGAACAAGATTAAGATCGAAAGCAAACGCGCTCAATACGGCGTGCATCATTATAGTTTCGCTAAATTAAACTAATATTACTCCGATTTATCAACGCTACCTTCTTTTCGGAACAATTGGAACTCTTATTGGCTCTTGAATCTTCGTGCATATTAAAAATTCGATCGTGTGTACTCGTCGCTTTCGTTCGCCCACATTGTCATCGCGTGTTCCGTTGCAAAATCGGATAACATATAGATTAATTTAACCGATTCGACGCTCACGTCGTTACTCGTTTGCGAAAAGTCAGCGTCGGACGATAAGCCTTCGCGTCCAGGTATAAATACGGTTCTCGAAGATCGTCGTAACTGGTTGTCACCTGTCAATGCCTCTTGCAATCGGTCAGGCAGCGGTTGGTTACACGAGCTTCGCGTGCGAGATAAGAGCCGACGAAATTCCTACAACGAGTCCTCGGGGACGACACGACACACGCATTCACGCGTGCGTAACACGCATCGGAACGCCCGTAGCGAAAAACGTCACGGATGTGATTTCGAAGTGCTCCTCGGCAGTCCTCGCCCTGTGAGGGCGTAAATTAATTCTTCGCGAAAATTAGCTCTCGCGTCCGGCTGCTCGCGCAATGACGCGCAGGATGCACCGCCGCTGCTGGTTTGTCATGATGGTCGGCCAACGGAATAAATGACTGCGCCCGACGTACGAAAGTAAATTATAAAATATGCGCTGTAAGCGCGTCGCTCGTGATTGCACCCCGTGATTAATGGACGCGACGTAATTGCGCCCGCCGCTCCACGTATAGCAAATAATTCAAGTGCCGAAACTTCTCCGACTATTAAACGCTTCGCTGTGAGAACTATTATTTGCTAGCAACGATAACACGTCAACCTCAGGATAATCACAATAAATAAGTCGGGATGCGAATTTCGATTGCGCTCCGAAATAGTCCATACGGAGTCCGTGCGTTACGCTCGTTATAGGAATTCCCCGTTCTGTGGAAAATGACCTCGTATATATTCTTAGAATTATAATTTGCGTTTAGTAGGGTAGACCGGGGACAAAAGTAACAGGGTACAGTTGTAACATCGTGAATATTTCTTAAATTATAAAAGGTACGTGTGTATGACCGCGAGGCGAGATCCGCTAGATAGAGCGGCATTTGTTCCTTAGTTCATTGCCGCCCCTCGCGGAACGTGCACGTGTGCAGGAGAAGAAGTTACTTTTTTCTTTCCTGAAGTAAGTTTTCTTACGTGCATAAAATCTGAAATATTTTTCTTTCTTTATGCCGAAGGTATAAGGTTTTATTTTTATATGTTTTAGTGATTATTTATGTTGATGATTTGCATAATACGATTGACTTTCATCCAGATATTTATGTAAAAAATTTACTTGAAATCATAAAATATCATTAGGGGACAATTGTAACATTAATGCCTGGGGACAGTTATTGTAGCGTTACAATTGTCCCCGTTGCTCGGGGACAACTTCAACTTAACCTAACCCTTTAAATATATATGATAATAAATAATCTTTCAGTTGAGAAAACAGTATTATTTGTTTTTGTTTGCTATAATGTAAAAATACTGATATTGTCATGTAATAAATTATTTTATCATTAAAGTTACATTTTTTATAGAAAATTCGTAAGATTGATTACATAAACCTACTAAATAACCATTATTTTGTTTATAGATGATGTGGTACAATCGTTCCCCTCTGCTGTTACAATTGTCCCGGGGGTTGGGACGCTTGTAACAGTATTCCTCATATTCTTTAAACAATAATAACTTTTTTTCTAGTTACATTACTGAATTCAGCACAAGAAAATTTTGTAGTCAAATAAATTCTACATCTAAAGGTACAGGTCTTTTTTACGTAGATATTATATTTTAACTGTTATAAAATCTTAAACTCAAAATGTTACTTTTGTCCCCGGTCTACCCTAATGCTGCACAATACGGGCTGATCACGTGGAAGACGCGCGCGCGTTGAACTTTCTCTCTTTCAGAAGTCCGTGGACCGTGCAGTCGTGCATCGCGCGATGCGATCGCAATCCGTACACGCATTAAAGTGCGTACGAGCGTCGAGAAGAGAGACGCGTACATACATCGCCCGAACTCGCGCAAACCGTCGGCCGGGGGCAAAACGATCGCTTTACCGAGAAGAACAAGCGTTCGCATTTACACGCTCGTATCGATTACATTAATTAAATAAAGACCGGCCTGGTATCAGCGCCACGTTTCGGCCCCGGGCATATATATCGGCTGGCGCGTTTATTGCGGCAGAGGCGATTCGCGCGCGGTTCTCGCCATAAGTCTGCGGTCGCTATCGAT